CTTCTTCCCTCCCCTCCCTCCTCTCTCTCTCTCTCTCTCTCTCTCTCTCTTGTTATTTTACACGAGTCAAATTATTATTACGTACCATCGGGCAAATCTGTACCGTATATGTCATATTTTGTGCGCTCTGTAGGGCCATACGGCACGTTAAGTTCGCATTTTATAGTTTCTCGAACGTTTTCTGTAACTGCGACAAAAGAAACCTTCATGGTCACCCGATCACATGATACATCAGACTCACCTTTTTCACGGCGCGTTGCGATCATCAAGATCAACAAAAAGATTTTTACGAAGCTCGCGAAGATTTATTCGCAATTGTCATCGAGAAGAAAGACTCAGTGGGAAGCGTTTGTTTTACCTTTTTTGCAGAATTTGAAGAAGTAATCGAGTAATTCATCGGATCCATATCGCTTACTCCATTCGCTTGGAGTGTACAGTCGCTCCTGTTCCTTTAAAATGAAATAAATCGATCGTTTAAATTTTATCTCGTTACTTCGGAAACAAGTATGACCGAGAGTATCGCGACGAAATTACGTACAGTAGTCATCTTCGGTTAACTGCTTAATTTTCCAGAGAAAATTGCTCGTGATTACTCGACGTTATTCACAATAATGCTCGTTAGATACTGCCACTATTCTCTCTGTACGTTGCACTTTCCTGGCTTTCCGTATCAATGTATATGTCTTTGTATATGCGATTTCAAGTATTTCTATTTTAATGTGTAAGCCGAGAAGGTAGAGCTCCGGTTAAAGTACATATTGATTTCTTATCGAGTTCTTATCGAGTCTTTAGGTTACAAATTAAGCTTTATCAATAACAGGCACTTTTATATTTTTTTAACAAGATTTGAATTTAAAAAAAAATAATTTCCACAATTTTTATTTTATTTTATTCTATTTTCATACTTTTTTTAAGTTTGCGTGAGAAAGAAATAATAAAGAACGATATTTCTATCTATTTTTATCACTATACATGTATATTTTACACGCATATATGTATAAAAGAATATTATATTTTAAAATATATGTTTTTCGCTCCTATTTATTTTTTCTATTTATACATGTCATATTTTTATATTTTAAGATAAAAAGACATCAGCCATACCTTACATTGTCATCCTTTCGATATTCAAATATCATATGTACGTATATGTAATTAGTTACTCCAGATACATAATTTATAATCAAACATTAGCAGTGGATCATATGACAACGTATAATTTTATGCAACGTTTGATACTTCTTTTTTTTTTCGAGTTGCGTAAAATTAATCATATGTTCTGTATATCTTTTACATTACGATTATGGAATGAATAAAATAAATAAATTATAAACTTGTAATTATAAAAATGAAATAATTATAGAAATAAATATAATATTAATATTAATATAAATATAATATATTAATATATTTTTATTCTAAAATCTGTATTTTCGTAATTCTTTTTTAAGATATATATTTTGAAATACGTTTGAAAAATGCATATGAAAATAATTTAATGTTTAATGCACATATTAAATATCTGTTTTACACATATGTTTAAAACAATAACTTTGCTAGAACGGCAACAATGAATAGAACATATTTTTATGTAAATCGAAATATTAATACAATATGTTTCTGTTTTTTCAAATATATGTGTGTGTGCACACTGAGAAAAAAATGCTGTTGAATCAATAACCGATAATTATTAGTCTAATTGGAAATTAATTTTGTTAATTCAAT